AATGTCATGCAGTTGGTTGGAGTCATACAATATGCAGCCTTTTCAGATTTTTCAGCCATATGCAATAAGGGTTCCTTGGTTTAGAATAATGTGCGATTATGTTGATGAGAGCTCATTTTTTTCTCTGACAGTAACTGTCCAGATGCCCACAGCTATGTCCTTCCGCCTGCTGAAGGGCCTTCTGGTTAACTCCACCTTTGGCAATTATCAGTTGCTATGCAGGTTTCAGTATGCATATGAGTCTTCGAGTAAGTACCAGGGAGCATAATTGCTGGTCCACGTTTAATTTTATAACAAACTGTCTTTCAGAGCAGGTTACCATCTGCATCCCCCCGGGCAGTAAGAGTTCCTGGTGCTCCACAGCCTCACCAGGACATCTCCATTCTATAAGATGTACAGTGGCTTCGAATAATTTTTAGTTTTAGAAGTTTTGAACTCAGGACCTTGTGCTTGCCAGGCAAGCACTTCACTGAGCTATCTCCCCAGCCCCAAAGTATAAAATTGTGGTAAATAAAGAGCCGGGCATGGTAGAACATGTCTGCTAAGCTCAGCATTCGGGTTGCTGAGGCAGGATTGCTGCAGGTTTGAGGACAACCTGGGCTACATGGTGAGTTCAAGGTCAGCCTGCACGACAAAGCAAGATCCTGTCTCCAAAACAAGAAATAAATAAGTAAATTATAAAAACCATGACATTGGGGCCGGGGAGATGGCTCAGTGGAATAAGCACTTCCCTGGCAAGCACAAGGGCCTGAGTTCAATCACTGGTTCCACCAAACAAACAAACAAACAAACTGAAACTGCCATTCATTCAGCAGCTCCCTTGGGAGGCTGGCTGCCTGTCTCTGGCTTGCCTTGTCCCTGGAGTATTCCACTGCCTGTGTCCTCTTGCTCCCCTGTGCTGCTGCAGAACTACAGCTCTAAAGACAGCCTGCCCACCCTTCAGAGGAGTCAGAACGTTGGACATAATCCCTGTTCTTTTATGTACCCAGGGCAGAGCTGTGATTTAGGCATTTCCACTGGTGGTACATCGATACCTGCCTGGCTGGAAGAGGATGAGGCCCAGGTCAAAATGCTTGGGCTTTCTTACCCTTCCTGACTGCAGGTTGCTTCAGGTTTCTGACTGGTTTCTGAAAGTTCACAAAGGCGCTTGGGTCCTACTGGACTCTCAGGGAAGAAGGGGGCCTTCTAACAACAACCTCATCGCCGTGTGGAAGTACTGTGTCTCATGGCAGCGGCCGGAGGCTCTACCCCTGCATGGCACATCTTACCTGATGACGTGGGGTGGGGGTGTCCCAGGGTTGGGAGGGACAAGCTGCGTGATTTTGTTTTTTTTTTTTAAAGTTCAAGAAACTTCTATACAGGCCAGAAATAGAATATCCTGGTGGCCCGCACCTGTAACCCCAGCACTCAGGGGGCTGAGGCAGAAGGATTGTTGTGTGTTCAAGACCAGCCTGGCCTACAAAGTAAGCTCTAGGCCAGCTGGCGCTGTGTCGCAAGACCCTGTCTCAAATAAGTAGAGGCTTCTCAATCATTTATTTTTGTACCAGGAATTGAACTTACAACTACATACTGTGCCACTGAGTTACATCCCTAGCCCCAAGTATTCTCCATTAAAAAAAAAAAAAAAAAAGATTCTGCTCAAGCAACATAGAGCTCCACAGCAACACTGAGGACACCAACACTGCTGAGACTTAGGCCTCATTATGTGACCTCTCCTCTGCCCTGGGACATAACCACCTGCCTTTGATGGCCAGAGTGCCACACGTTGGGCCTCCTGGCTGTAGGCTTCCTTTTTCACTGCCTCTTCTGAACACAAGCCCCTGGCACCATAGGATGTAGTCCTGCTGTCGGCCAAACTGTGACTCTGTGAGAGTCTTGGGAAGGTGCTCCCTGCAGGCCAGGCCATGTCTGAGAATTCCCCATAGCACCACGAGTGGGTCTTGCCCTGTAGGTCAGTTGACTCACATCTGACCTTCACCCTGCAGCTGCGCCTCCCACAGCATGGTCCTGGCTGCTGAGACCTGCCAGGGAGGACAGCCCTCAGTCGGCCCCCAGAATCTCCTTGAAGCAACTGGGGCTGCTGCCTGGACATGTTGGCTCTCGGCCTTCCTATGTCTCCTCAGTCACACCCCTTGGGGCCTGTGTCACCCTCCCACTGTGGCCAGGGCCAGTCCACTGGGACAGATGTGCTCGTGTGCTGTGCAACTGTCTCCTAAGTACCATGCAGAGGACTGGACAGGTACAGACTTCCACAGCTGCTCATGTCCCGCCTCATGTCCTGCCCTTTGTCCCTCCCTGCACCCATTGGCTGCTTTATAATAGGACAGCCAGCTGACGACAGATGCACTGCCTTGCCAGAGTGCTTCCTGGCCCTAGGTGCCCAGAGCGCTCAGGTCTTGCAGTGTGTCCAGAGGAGCCAGTGGTCAGGAAGGGGGAGCCATGGGACTGCTGACCGGGGATGCGCTGCTCTCTGTGGCCGTGGCCGTAGCCGTCTTTCTGCTCCTACTTGACCTGCTGCACCGGCGCCAACGCTGGGCTGCTCGCTACCCACCAGGCCCTGCACCAGTGCCCGTGCTGGGCAACCTGCTGCAACTGGACTTCCAGGACCTGCCATACTCCTTCTATAAGGTGGGGAGCTGGGGTGAATGGGCACAGTGACGAGGGTGACGTTGCAGCAGGAGATGATGGATGAGGGCCCGGGCTGGACAGAGATCTGGCCCTGTAAGAGGAAGCAGGTGGTGAGGGCTGGGGTGGGGGGGGCATTGCAGACTGGGGACACTTTGGACTTCGCAAAGAAAAAATGTGGGAGGTCAAAGGCCAGGAGGTGGAGTGGCAGTTTGCAGAGCAGTGTGATATGGATCCAGTTAGACAGGGCGGAAGTCATGTAGGGCCCAAGTCCTCTCTGACAATGTCAGGGGCAGAGGTGAGGACCTCAGCACCGATCAGGGCATCAAGGCCGAGAGGCTCAGCGGGAGACTCCTTCGTACCATCTGTTGCTGTGTGGGCTGGGCTGTCTGCTCATGTGTGGGAGCCTGGGTTTTCTCCTGTGTAAACTGGGGTGCTAGCTAGCTGGGGTCCTGACAGTTCCTCAGGCAAGGTCGTGGCTGGGGCGCCAGATCCCTAGTGATTCCCAGACATACAAGTGACCTCCCCATCACAGGATGCTCTCAGCCTTGGGGCACACCCTGGGAGAGCACTTGCCTAGCGAGCAGGGACCCTGGGCCCAGCTCCCTGTCCCTGCCAGGAACGAAAGAGGGATGTGTGATCTTCGCAGTGCTCTGCTCTGTCAGGGTCTCCAGGGTTTTCCACGCTGAGGGGTCCCTCAGGTTGGCTGGGGCCCTGACATGAGTGTCATAACTTTTAACTGCAGTTGCGGCACCGCTTCGGGGACGTGTTCAGCCTGCAGCTAGGCTGGACTCCGGTGGTTGTGCTCAACGGACCATCGGCTGTGCGTGAGGCGCTAGTAGACCACAGTGAGGACACCTCGGACCGGCCATCAGTGCCCATCTATGAGCACCTGGGCTTTAAGCCACATGTTCAAGGCAAAGGATGGTGGAGGGGCAGGACATAGGGGTGGTGGCAGTGACCAACTGAAAAACTGGGTCTCATGGGACGTGATGTGGTCAAGGTACACAAAGCCCTGAATTCTAGGCATGTGGATAGAAAAAGGCCCCTTGGCAGAGCTATGGGCAAAGATGTGGGTGCGTTGGGGGACAGCCTATACTGAGAGGACCGTGAGAGGGGTGATGGCCCAGAGGGCATGGCCCGTGCACCTGGTTGCTCACGTGCCTGCCTCGTGCAGGGGTGGTCATGGCACGCTACGGACCCGCCTGGCGTGAGCAGCGGCGCTTCTCCATGTCCACCTTGCGCAACTTCGGCCTGGGCAAGAAGTCCTTGGAGCAGTGGGTGACCGAGGAGGCCGCCTGCCTCTGTGCCACCTTTGCCACACAGGACGGTGGGTGATTGGCTGAGGGGCACCAGGAAGGGACAAGAGACAAATGCCAGGGAGAAGGGCCACACTGAACTGCATCTCTCCTCCCAGGGCTCCCCTTTTACCCCAAAGCCCTCCTGAACAAAGCGGTGTGCAATGTGATCTCCTCCCTCGTCTTTGGGCACCGCTTCGAGTACGATGACCCGAGCTTGGGCAGGATGTTGGGCCTGCTGGAGGAACTTCTGAAAGAGGAGTCTGGCTGGATGCCTCAGGTGCAGGGCCCAGGAGTGCGCGGGCAGCTCCCCACGGTGCAACCGGGACTCTCAGGAAGAGCGTTTGCTTTCAGGGGAGATAGAATCAAGGGGAACCTGAGAGATGAACCCCAGCAGGAAGGGTGTGAAGGTGGCAAGTGTCAGACCACAGAGGTGGCCCAGGGTTGAGGCTCCAGAGAGGGCAGAGTCTACACCTCCTATCCATGTTGGGAGCCACCAATGCTCATGAGAATTCTGGGGCAGGATGGTGCTCCTGGCAGCCAGGCCGGGAGCGAGCATGTCGGACATGCTGGGGAGGGAGTGGGCCGGCAAGCAGAGGGCCCAGGCAGGCCAGGCTCCTGGAAGAGGGTGGGCCCCGAACCTGGTCCAGGTGAGGGCTATGCGAAGGAAGGACTCGGGCCCCTGTGTTCCTGCACAGGTGCTGAACACGTTCCCCTTGCTGCTGCACGTCCTGGGGTTATCGGAACGGGTTTTCTCTGGGCACATAGCATTGAGTGTCCTCCTGGATGAACTGGTGGCCGAGCACAGGAGAACCTGGGACCCGGCACAGCCTCCCCGAGACCTGACTGATGCCTTCCTGGCTGAGATCGAGAAGGTGAGAGGTGACTACCAGGAATGAAGCGAGAGGCTGTGGCTGTGGCCCTGGGAGCTGAGGTCAAGCAAGTGAGGCTCGGCTTGTCCCAGCCAATAGGACTAGAATTAAGGGCTACAGATTAAAAGGGCAATTGGGGGGCCAGGGAGATGGCTCAGTGGAATAAGCACTTCCCTGGCAAGCACAAGGGCCTGAGTTCAATCCCTGGTTCCGGAAAAAAAAAAAAAGAAAGAAAGAAAAAGGGCAATTGGGGGCTTTCTCCCTCTATGCCCTGACCCATCTTCTCTGCCTGGCCCAGGCCAAGGGGAACCCTGCAAGCAGCTTCAACCAAGAGAACCTGAACGCCGTGACATCTGACTTATTTGCTGCAGGGACAGCAACAACATCCAGCACGCTGGCCTGGGCCCTGCTGCTCATGATCCTGCACCCAGATGTGCAGCGTGAGCCTCACTGGGGACTGTGTGGGAGGGTGAGAGAGGCAAGATAGAGGCAGGGTCCTCAACCAGTTAGGACACCTGGTGCCCCTACTACTGGCATGACCCACACTCCTGTCAGAGTGATGCCCTCCTCACCTGGTCACAGCGCTTAACTCGGGTAGGAGGAGACAGTCAGGCTACAACCCTGAGATTGACCCACCCTGGGCACATGTGTCTGTGCAGGCCGCGTCCAGCAGGAGATCGATGAGGTGATAGGGCAGGGGCGGCGCCCAGAGATGGCAGACCAGGCCTGCATGCCCTTCACCAACGCCGTGATTCACGAGGTGCAGCGCTTTCGACACATCGGCCCCTTGGGTACACCCCACATGGTGTCCCGGGACACTGAGGTGCAAGGGTTCCTCATCCCCAAGGTAGGCCTGGGGTCCGCCTTCCCCAGCGTGGCTGCTCCCAGGCGGGGCCAAAAGCACCCAGACCACCCGATCCTGGGCTCCATTGGTGCTGCCAGGTCCTGCCTGACTGTGTGTGATGCTGAGCACAGTACTGCTGTGCTGTCCCCACTGAATGCCCAGGTGTGACAGTAAACTAAAATAAGCCAGAGAGACTTGGAAGACCCCTCTATGCAGGAGCAGGTAGCAGTGAGGCACCCACAGGAGTCTCACCATGTGGCATTGCCATTGTAATAGAGGGAGGTGAGAAGCCAGGATGGCTGAGAGCCTCTAGAAGGGTCCAGGCGTGGGGCAGGAACGCATCCCCATGTGTGCTTACTACAGGGTCTTGGGGCCCTCTACAGGGCCACTTTCATGCCAGACACCTTCCTACAGGGCACCACGCTCATCACCAACTTGTCGTCCATAATGAAGGATGAGACTGTCTGGGACAAACCCCTCAAATTCTACCCTGGACACTTCTTAGACACCAAGGGTTGCTTTGTGAAGCCGGACGCCTTCATGCCATTTTCAGCAGGTGCCTGCTTGTTGGGGACCTGGCCCCTGCTGCTTTCCAGGGTGTCTGGGAGGGGAGGTTCCCAGGACACAGTCAGACTAAGCCCCATCCTTACCCACAGGACCCCGCACCTGTCTCGGGGAGCCCCTGGCCCGCATGGAGCTCTTCCTCTTCTTCACTTCCCTGCTGCAGCACTTCAGCTTTTCAGTACCTGAGGGGCAGCCCCAGCCCAGTGACCATGGGACCTGTGGTATACTGTTTATCCCACAGCCCTACCAACTCTGTGCTGTATCCCGATAAGGGACAGTCCACACAACCAAGACTGCCCAATGGTATTTTTCTCTTACATACAGCGTTTGGATGTTGTTGTTGTTCTTGGCAGTCTTAGAGTCTTCCCTAACCTGTCTTTAGGTCTTTCCCCTGGTTTAACTTTCCCACTGGGAAACAAAAGTGTTCAACAGTGAAATTTCATTTTTACTTAATTTTCCTAAGCTGAGCTTATGCATTTGCTAAAACAGTGACTGTGACTTCTATACAGTGTGGAACAGAGCGGCAGATGGATGTAGTAAATAAGAAAATGCCAGGTCACGGGTGAGTAAAATAATCATTGGATTCTCACAGAGTGCTCACCACCAAACGCAGGTGTCCACTGAAGTACAACCACTCACTGGCCACTGTGACCAGCTGCAGCCTCTTTGCCACTAACCACTCACGGAGGAGGTTTAGATAAGG